CGTTTCGCAAGTGCACACACCGCGTGTCAGCTGATGGACCAAGACAGCACACGCTCTCCAATACGCTTGTTAGTCGAAGCGGCAGCTGCTAGACTTTATTCATACAGTTCAAAGAACAAAGATAAATAAATAAAGATATATACGGTTGTTTAAAAGTCTTAGCACGAAGGAGGACAGAGAACGAGAGAGAGAGAGAATGAAAAGAAACCTAAGAGAAGCGCAACAATGAAACGGAGAGCGACCATCCGTAAGCCGGGACATTTGTCCGCCTGTCGAAATCCGGAGTAAGAAGGCGAGCAGCGAGCGAATAAAAGCGAAGACACCGTGACACGAGACGTCGTCCTCGCGGAGCAACCGACACGCTCTAGCGGTCTACGCGGCGTCTGCCGAGATCGTGCTGTGGCGTGCGCCCGTCTCGCCTCGGCGTCGTGCGTCTTCCACGAGTCACGCGTCTTGTACTGAAAGATCGGCCGGGGACAGCTGCGATGCGCCAAGTAGTGCGTGGCGGGCCCCTCAATGAGCCCTTGCGGAGGTATTACGACTCAGAACCCGGTCACCTCCGTCGCGTCCTTTCATTGCGTGCCGACCTGTGCGCGACTGAGAATTGTCAGTGAGTCATCGCTGAAGTCCGCAGACGCCGAGGGGCTGCTAAAGCTCTGAAAGAGTTTTAAGGAACTAGGTGCCGTGAAGAAATAAATAAAAAAAAGGCCAGACACGGGTAAAGTGTTGTGCAACAAGGATCGGCAAATGAGGCCAGCGGCCGTGATGAGGCTCTCTGGAGATGCGCTCTAGTGAGGTGACCTTGCTCGCTCCTTGCCGAAGTGAGTGTAGAGCTTAATGAGATTTACCTGCATAAATTAACAGACATTTACTACCTAAATGTCTTTGCTCTACTACTTGCAGTTACTAATTAGGTGATGAATGTTGTGGCAGCACTTTAATTGATTGATTGATTGATATGTGGGGTTTAACGTCCCAAAACCACTATATGATCATGAGAGACGCCGTAGTGGAGGGCTCCGGAAATTTAGACCACCTGGGGTTCTTTAACGTGCACCCAAATCTGAGCACACGGGCCTACAACATTTCCGCCTCCATCGGAAATGCAGCCGCCGCAGCCGGGATTCGAACCCGCGCCCTGCGGGTCAGCAGCCGAGTACCTTAGCCACTAGACCACCGTGGCGGGGCGTGGCAGCACTTTACTACCTCAAAAATTATCAAGTAGCACCACACTTTTTTTTTAATAGTGTGCTTCCTAATGCACGCATACATCCACTTCGTCAACGAGCCGATTAAGAAATCCGTGGAATACGATCAGCATCATTACACGATTACATTGCCAGGTTGTACAGGAAGTCATATTGTTACTTTGAATCATTTGCCAAACCATTCTAGAGTCGGCAAAAACCGGATAAATTAGCGCTGATTTGGTCGTACGGTTTTTCTTGCCCTCCACTTGGCACGGCTGTACCGCAAAGCGTAATACATTAGGCAGTAACAAGAAAGCAGATAAAGAATGCTCGAATTCACTTTCACTCGTAATGTTTCCTCCTCATCCATTATTGAAGCGCGTATCTTGTGCCGTGCGTGAATCGCAATCAGGCCCGAGTTGGCACTCAAGGCGCAACCTGGTCGACCCGTTGACTCTATAAAGGAAAGAAGTGGTTCTCTCTCGTTATCTATGCAAATGCATGTATGCTACGCATAAATCGCACAGCGCGGGGCAGTCCAGTCGAGCAGGCCGCGACCCAGAGAAAATATGTAAGCCAGCCACGGACAGGAATCGCATTACACGAGACGCCTTAGATGTGAAGATATCGCACCTTCTGGGAATACAGGAAGGCCACGGCTATTTCGTGACGCAGCTCTCAATCAAAGTGCTATTCTATGTCGACGAAAAGGAGCAAACTTGCGAGGCTTTTTGCGCGTGGTTTCCTATTCGTTAGCTGTATAGATCAAATTACATTACTCTCGCGCCCGTGTATACGTAGACGTGAGCTTAGCCTCTCTCGTTTTCCATCTACAGTGGCTTGAAAGGGCGTTCATCGCGTGCAGGAAATGAAAAAAAAATTAAATAGAATAATTGAAGTATATCAGATTATTTTTAGAACATACACTCTAAAGAGTGTCTCGGAGTACCTGCGCAGTTACACCGAAAAGGGCTCTTTGCTCCTCCAAAAGATGAAATGCGCGCAAAAGACTGCATAGGGCGCGGCAAGGAGGGGCACTTTTCTTCTTGTGCAGTAAAGCTCCCGTTTTCGGGTGTAACTGCAGGGATGTTTGAGCCGTGTGCCTACACAAGCCTGTTTCCTTTTAGAAGGTTTAACTGCGGAAGGAGCAACCACAAGAGCGCAGTTACTCCTTCGCAGTTACTCCCAAAATGGTGCAATGGGTGTGGCAGGTCAGTTTTTTCGCTAAAGGAGCAACCTCGATACCCCTTTTTGCTCCTTTACTTCTTAGAGTGTATGTGGCGTCAGGATTCAGAGAAACATGTCGATACCGTTCTCATAAATGACCCAAATCTGGCCACTGATTCCGATGTACCGAGTTTTTGTTCCGCCGTTCTGGTTTCTACACACAGTGACTGCACAGGATGCCACGCGCACAAAAAAAAAAGGAATTATAAGATAAAAAAAAACGCTTGAACGCAGTCTTATATGCGTAGTTCACGAGCATGCATTAATAAATAAGACTTTAAATGTGTGTGTCGGACGAAAACGGACATGAACGGTCCGGTACACATAGCGAAAGGTCCGCAGTCTGCGTGTTTGAGACTCCTGTCGAGGTATCACTGTATTACTCCCCTGAATAGCTCCGATGCAAAGGAAAATTACGGCGTTATTCACTTGGGTGTGCACTGCAGTGCGAACATGTCATACATTTGAGAAGCACTATACTCGGTCACAAGAATTTCCTTCGAATGAAAGAAAGGAAAAAAAAATAAAAAGAACGAACAAGTTTTTCTGTAGCAAACATGGCGTGGGCTTCTTAGATGCGAGCTTTCAGCGGTCGTTTGGCCACGCGTGGAATAACGGCCCACTACCAAAGGTGCGTTGCGTTCACCTTCGGGTCGTGCGTGTCTGGCCGCACTTCAAACAGAACTGGGAACTCGGATTTCGTTTTTCACGCCGATTTACACGCTATGACCTGCCGCCACGCAGAAGAGGCGCACGCAATGACGCCTACCTACGTAAAGGGCGACTCAAGCGACCGACACGACGTGTTGTTGAAATAATAACAAAAATATAATACAGTCGTAAGGAAAAGCAGCCAAAATTGGGGTCACACATGTCGCGCTCGCGTGGCAGCGCGGCGTCGCGTGTTGCTGCAGGGGCGCTCCTCGTGAGTTCGACAAGCGACCGCGCGTGCAGCGACAGTGCAGGGAGAGAGGGCGGAGAAACGACGCGCCATTGTCTTGCACACGTCAAGGAGAGAGAGTAAGCGCGGGATGAAGACAATGGAATTTGTTGTTTAATTTCGCCGTTGTTGTTGCGCCACTTAGGTCGAGAAGAGGGGTGTAACCAAATGAACGAGACAGCTTGCTCATTCGCGATTGCGCAACCTCGCTGAACACGACTCCAGCGCTCGCTTCGGCGGGATTCGATACTCTCGTTTGTCTCGCGCGGAGAGCAAATAATCGGGGCCGAGCGTTGACTCCGCGCCTGAGTTCCTCGCTGGCGGTTTCGCTGTCGGCGTTGTACGGGTTTAGGGTGGCGGGCCTAATGACTCCCAAGGGGAGTGCCCTATCATTGGGGCCCGTTCAGCAGGTGTGGCCCTGGCTTGATTGCAGCCAATGACGACCTGTAAGGACGCCTGTTTGCGCGCCAGAAGGCTGACGAGTGCCACTCGGAACAAGTTGCGAAGGACGCGTCCTACAAACGGCAAAGATAAATAAACAAAAGAAGCTGTCGCTTTCGCGCCGTTTGTATGTGCCCGTGCGCGAGCGTAGTCCTATAGAGCTGGGGATGCCTGTCACTGTTGGTATGCGAGCGGCATGTCGCTGTGGGAACAACGGTCGTAGTCGGCTTCTTATTGTGTTGCAGTGTATACAGCGGTATATATACTGTTATCGCGAAAAAGCAAGACCGTTTAATCCGTCGCATACAGTTAACTACACAGAGACGCAATGCTTGGGCCGGCCCGAGAAAAGTGGGTTTCGCACGTAGATACTGCACGGAAGTTACGAGCTTTGCGCCATGCGGGCCATGACAACTTTTGCATTTCAATGACACTGTTTGCGTAATCGTTGATATCTCTTTAGCCGAGACCCAATGGAAGGAATGCTTTGGAAGTGAACACGATGGTATTTTGTGCAAAGTTCTCATTTCTCTCGCAGGAAACAGAGAGAAGTTGTGAAACAATGTTTGAACCAACAGTTTTGTTCTGTTGTTGGTAAACGAAATTACGTCGCTAAAGCATCGATGCACTACTAAAACGTTATAAACACTACTAAATCGCCTATTCTGACTACCAGCCCCTCATTCCATTCCCCCAGTGTAGGGTAGCAAACCATACGTGAGTCTTGTTAACCTCTCTGCGTTTCCTTGCTTCTCTCTCTCCCTATTTCTATGAGTAACCTAATCTACCTCGATATCAATATCATTGCCCGAGAATACGTCTCAACTTCGTACATATATGCTCTACAAGACACATACGCTCATAAATACTGGCTTTACAGCTACTGTTTCTGGTGTTCGTTTTTTTTTCTTCAACCAAAAAAGATTATTTGAATAGATGGAGCAGGAGATTTTATTAAATATGGTTCTAGACTAAAGCAGGTTGTCCATCGGAGCTACCTCAGTCGTATACCGACGATATATCGAGTACAGATAGGTATTTGATGCGAATCTGTCTATTGAAGTGTTTTGAAGAAATTATTTTATGCCATTACTGGGTCTCTGTAGCGTAGACTGCATCGCTGCAGTGAAACGTGTACCACTAAAAGTACTGTATTACCGTTTTTCTTTAGGCCTACCCAGCAGGGTGGCGCTGCGACCGCCATGTCCGAGCTGGAGAAGATCAAGAAGAGTCTGCTGAAGAGCGCCAACGGCGATGGACCAGCGCTGTTCGAGGATCCGGACTTCCCGGCCAGCCAGAACTCGGTCTTCTATCACCAGACTCCGCCCTTCAAGTTCACCTGGCTAAGGCCCAAGGTGAGTTCGAGAACTCGGTAGTCCCCACTACGTCCACCCAACCGAGAGTTCGCCTGTACGAAAGTCTATTTCCCTTTCGAGGTCCGTTGCAGCTATACAATTCGAAGGACACGCTGCGCGATGTCCCGGACATCTTCTCAGTGATGAGCTTGGTAGCCGATCCGCTCTTGCATGCATAGCGGGGCTTTTTTTTAGTTTTTTTTTTTTTTCGCGGAGGGCGCATATGCCAGCATCAGCCCGTATAGTGTTTGCATTATGGAGATGCAATATAATTTTTTGATGAAATGTTAATTGTATCTTTTAATATGTTCTGGACAGCACTACTGCTCTCACCCTTTAGGTTGAAACAGTCCAATTGTCACAAGTATATGTTTAGTTAAACACTTTATCAATAAAAAAATATTCTCGGAACACTGTTTTCTAAATAAGCGTTTACTTCTCTCTCTCTCTTTCTCGTGACTAACATGAATAATGTATCGAAACATAGTACTGTTGTCATTTGCATGCTGCTCGCTACTTTAATGATGCGCGACGATTTGTTAAGATGGCAGCAATGAAATCACTAGCATTTTTTCAGCTCTTAGAAAGTTTACCAAACACAATGGTTATGGTTTAGCAGGACATACTGTGCATTAAAAAAAAAACAGTTAAGCTTATACTCCAACAACTGTTCGGCACTCTTTGCTCCCCTTTTTGCAGGAAATTTGCTCTAGTCCACAGTTTGTCTCCGATGGCCCATCGCAGTTCGACATCACTCCCGGCAAATTAGGTAAGGAACATTTTCTATATTTTGGCGCTAACTGAATGCTCTCGTATAGTTGATGTAGGTGGACGCATGTTGACTGAGCTTCCTCCTTGCGGTGTCGTGCTCGCGCCCTTTCTTATATCCTGACAGCAGCACTGATAAGTGCAAGACTGTTTCTATACACTGTGAACTTGAGTGGAAAACTGCTTTTGTGGACAAGGAAGTTGTCCTCCAGTGAACGAGCTGCCGTTCTAGAGTATTACTAACTTCATTGTCATGATGTTGTCATGGACTCGGTGTGATGTCATGACACCGAATCCAGCTGAAACATAACGAGCGACCGCAGCGACACAACATCGCAGCCACTAAGCCTTTTTCAGAAGGATATAAAGAAGGATGTTATCTTTCTTCGAAAGAGCAATTGTGAACGTATACTTTCGATTCATATTGGCGAACCAAAGCACGAATGGGTACACTGGAAATCTGTGCGATCTGTCGGACCTTCACCTTGCGTAGGCTGCCGTGGAAGCAACGGTGTATGGCACAAACTGGTTTCACTTGTTCCTGCCCCTTTCGCCATGTCTGAGGGCAGCGAAGCAAATTTCGCTGGCGTTAACCCGCTTTCGCTTCTCCTATACGGCGTCTTCGACTCGACACGTGCAACTGCACACGCCATTCGGTTCGCGGCCGTTCAATCACGCGCCGATCGCGATCAATGCTCGTCGTTTCCTCATTTCAGCTTTCGCCTCGGCGAATACAAAGTCGCCGAACCGTTCGCATCTTATCCGCGACGCCGCATCTCGGCGCCGTTCGAACTTTCTCGTTACGCGAGATCACCACGATCGGGTCATCAGCCTACACGAGCCGCCCGTAAAGCCACTCGCTCGCGGCACTGCACACACAAGCGCACGAGGTCACTTACTCCGACGTGTGGCTTTCTTTCATTGCCCTGTTTACATTGCCTATACGCAACGCACAGTTTGCCGGGCGCACTGGCATTTCTAGGTCTGCGAGAAATGCTGCCCACTTCGAATCGAGGAAGCGCAATTGGGCGAGAGACGGCGCGCGCGCGCGGCCAGAATTGAATGCGACAAAAGAAGCAGCGAAATATCCCCGAGCACCACTAGAAATCGAAAATCTAAGGATCGCGGCTTTCATCTCGACGTTCACAATGCACTGAGCAGCAAGAAGGGAGAGGGGGGGGGGAGACGTGAGATTGCTGGACGACGATCTGACTGCTGGGTGGGCGTGCTTTCGGCTAACGAAGCAGGGAGACGGCATTGAAGGCTGCGGCTCTATGTAGCCCACCTGTCCAGTACCTAACAAAAGACGGCTCTCTCAATACTCAGACGAATTTGAGAATATATGGCACACGCACAAGGAAAAAAAAAAAGAACCGCCGATACAACGAGCTGCTTGAGTGGCGATGGCGATTCGCATGTTCCTTATTGACGCTGCATGGGGCGCTGTCCGATCCAGTGTTTTCACTGGTCAAAACTTCCGCCTGGTCGCGTGAGAAGTTCGCCTGCGGCGAGCCTTCCGCGTGGTTTTCGCTATATTTTTTTATCTCTTCCCTGGAGCAGGTTTCCCGATTCTGCCTTTAGTGTTTTAATGAAGGCTCCGGGAAGTGCTCGCTCGAGTATATATTCTCCGCTCGCCATTTTATGCTTCAGTGGCTTTATAATTTGCATGGCAGCAATTGTAAAACTGCAACGAAGAAAAGAAGCTTGCCGGTGCTTTTACAACTCACCGAATGAGGAGTGCAGAACAGGTTTCATTAATTATTGCCCCCCCCCCCCCAAAAAAAAATTTCTTGAGTACGTATACAAAGATTTACTTGTTTATTTATTTGACTGTAAACATTGCAGATGTTATCCTCAGTTGTCCTGCTCTTTATTTTTCTATGTATATTTTCGCAAATTGTTAACGAGTAAACGCTCATTTATTTCCCTATTAGATTTCTTGTGGTTTAGCCCATGACAGTATCGTTTTATTTCCTGATACTGGATGTTAGCACAGAAACGCAATAGAGCTAAAAAAGCACACACGTGATAGACCACATTTGCCCCATGCGGGTACAATGTTCGCCTGGTTCCCATGTTTGCGTAAGCACTCACAAATACACGAAATACCAAGGCCTCTGGAAGGGCTATACGCGCGACCCTTTACAATGCTTAAAACGCTGGATATTTTCATTTTCCTATCTTTTTTCTAATAAATATGTTACACGCCAATTATAATTGAAATAATGTCTACATCTCGAACATTCGCATATTTTTCTAATTACTACGATGCGCGCGATGTCAAGCATGCCATATTCTGAAATGCAGTGTTACATATTATTCATGTCTAGTATCGCGTTCAGCGCACAGATTACTACGATATAACCTATAGCATTATTTGGTACAAGTTTTTAGAAGGATGATCTGACGACAGTGAATCTACATTAGATAACCTGGATTTCTCAAATATGGGTCTGCTTCACAAAAGTTTCCGAAATCCTGCTGCATTTATAATTTTTTCCGGTGTTCCCATCTGTATATTTTCCTCTTACTGCCATGCATAATTTGTTCGAAGGCTGTAACATGATCATGTAACATGAGCTGAACTCGCCTCTTAATAAGCCCTAACCCAATCTTTGTCCATCTTCCTGGCTATGTCATTCTCTACAGCGATCTCTCCTGATAGGCTGTGCTACGGTTTACCTCCCAAAACATACGGAAAAACGCTTCAGGTCTTCTCTTCTCTCTCATCTCTAGTGATATATTTTGCCGGGCATTTAATTTCGGAGATGGTGGTGTAGTGACGAAATCCGAGCTAATGCATCTCTCATAATCACATAGTGGTTTTGGGACGTTAAACCCCATATATTCTTAAATCCGAGCTACTGAACGAAGGTACTATGACATATCAAGTGAATGATTTGAAAGCATTGTCCCGACACAATGTTTCGTCAACTTCGAACTTTTTTTTTTTTTTGCTTTCTGGCAACCTATCTGTTCTGTTCTGTTCTGTTTTAACTGTTTTGCTGTGGAGAGGTTGAGGTGCCTATTGCCTCGGCTACTCCATGTCACAAAATTCTGCAGCGAAAAATAAAATAATAATACAGAACGGTACCCAAAAATTAACAATACGAAAAAGAAAGAAAAAACCCATCTGAATGTGCTTATTCTACAAAAAAAAATTGTTTTGGCTAATCGTGAATACATACACAATAAGTGTGTCATTGCGTGCCCAATAATTAGTCTGGTAGACAAAGCTGTACATTAACTCAAGCTCGATGCCTTTAACCAAAACAAAAAAAGTTTAACCAAAACAAAAAAAGGCCATCCCAGCCAAAGAAGGTTTTTTTTTTTTTCCCCGTTCCGTCAGTGTCTGTCGCTATACCACAGATGCGCTGCGTGGGTACGTTAAAAAAATAAACCAAACTGAGAGGTCAGGTCACGCTCGCTTTCACCATCAAATGCGGGAAGCCGCAGAACAAGCCGCGTGGATATGTCAGCAACACTCGTCTTCGTTGACAGGCCATCTTCCTCCGTGTTCCATTCAGGCCAACCGCAAAATGCGGCTCGTGACAGACGGGCCGTACAGCGCTGCGTATAAATAGAAAGCCAGCGCCTGTAGGATGCCGCTGAAACGCGTGAAGCGGGTTTGATTTGATCCATCACACAAGAGGCGCCCCGTATTCACGACAGTGCGGAGGCAATGATATGCACGCGCGTCGCGGTTTGCCGGGCACGATGGGCCTTCCGTTCGTATACATGGACCTTCTGTAAACACGCCTTCTGGTTCGACTGCCAGGGACTGATGCAGTTTATAGTCATCGTCGCGCGTACTGTCAAAGGTCCCAGACGGCGCTAACTGCGGCGGGGGACGACACCGCTTCGAAAAGCGACCCAACCAGGCACGGAGATAACGCGGCGACCCCGAAATCCCGTTTCTGAACGGACGGCGCAGTAGTTCTTCCTTCGCGTGCAGCAAAGCCGCCGGCTCGCTCGCTCCCAAAGTCGCCGGGAACGCGGAAGAAAGGCCGCTGCAAAAACAAAAAAGGAGACGCAAAGTAATCCCCTTCGTAAAACAAGCTGCGTCGCATAAATGGCCACTATTGATATTGCCACGTGCTGTAGGTATTATGCCTCGAAATTCGCCTCGGTATTTGCGCGTAAGAAGAATGAACAGCGTCGCCCGCGCCGAACTTTGAACGTGAGCAGCGGCGACCGAAGCTGTGACGATCGATATCACTTGAGGAAGTCATTCATGGACTACGCCCCTGGGCCCTGAAGCCACGCGTAATGCTTGTGTCTTATACGGCTGCTGTACGTCGAACGCAGCGTAGAACTGTTCCAACTTCGCTTAATGATTCGCGTTCCCAGACGCGAAAACGACCGCGAGCGGTACAAGGCTCGGACGGTTTCATCGTTGGCCGAAAAGTAAGCGTGAGGAGTGGTCGCACTGTATCTCGCATGTGCCAAAGAGCAACGGCAATTACAGATTGTTGTCGGTGTGCTGGTTGAAATCGTCTTGGCGAGGACTTGGTGTTTCTCGGAATTGTGAACAGGGCTTCGGACGCTTCACTGCTTCTTTACTGCATTGCCGAGCGGGAAGATCGAAAGGGAACCACGGGGGAAAAAAAAAGAAATTTATTTATTGCTCAGAGTCGATCGACTAAAGAAAAAAAATAATTCTATTTACTGGGTGGCTATTTCGTGTAATGCAAGGAATGGTGAAAAAGTGTGTCTCGAAAGTGGAAGGTGAGCTTTAGTTCACCAAATCCCAGACTTGTGCACAAGCGACATTTTGTTCCTACGAGGACATAACATGTAAAATGAGGTGGGACTCATTCTCTTCTGTTACTACTATGAACAACGGGTTCGTCAGTTTAACCCGGATAATTAACATTGTTCAGTGGTTAAAAAAAAAGTCTAGACAAATTCTTACGTGCAGCGAACATGTTTTTTACGTTTATTTTTGTTTTTTGAGGGGATAAATATCACCTGCGCCATGTCGTTGAGTATTTCTGCTGC